GAAGGCGGTGACGTCACAGGGTCATGAAACCAGGTGGCTGAGGCTGCTGGCAAGTCCAATAGAGGTGTTGTTTATCGAGGAATGTCCTTGGGAGCGCTCAGCTCCACAGCTCCATGGATACAGGAGGGGGTGGGGAGGGAAGAGCGTTGTGTTTACATATCTTCAAGGAGATTAGAGATATGCAGCCTTTCCAAGGCCACACGGGAAAAGCCAATTCAGAAACAGAATGTCTTAGGTCGGGAAGATTATAAATTTCAATCTTCCCTAAAGTCTCTCCGATACATCTCAGTTCCCAATCATCCAGATTAGGTTAGTCATTCCACTGAGCCGAAACTAGCAACTTCTCCAAGATCGATTCCAACTCGTTAGTGAGTTTGAGAGTCCTCGTCTCTGTCCACACCAACAGTCTGAGTGTTCGCCAGTTCGGCCAAGCCCATCACAAATTTGTCGATAATCCAGGAATCCACAAGCTCCAAACAGCAGGTTATTTACTTTTTATGAATTTTAATAAAATATTTTCACAAGAATGTTGCTATGTTGTTCATGGAAACATGAACATGTTGCCATGAACAACAGGATTCACTCAGGGTGAATCCTGCTGGGTGTGTCCCTGCAGGACAGGAGGGCTCTCTGTGCCCAGACTTCTCGTCAAAAATGTTATCAATTGCATTGAAAGATCGGTTGACCAGATCCATAATTTGTAGATTTGGATGATGTGCAAAGAAACATAGAAAAAGACAGAACAAAAACAGAGCAAGCAGGTGTAGCGTAGTTGGTTCTGTGTTGTGTCTTGTGGGAAATAACAGCCAGACAACAGCTGATGTGAAAGCATTTTTAATGCATTCAAATAGCAGAAAATAGTCAAAAGAGGCTTTTTCTCATCACAGTGCTCCACAGCGCCTGTTTAACCATGAACAGCACTTTTTTCAGCACATTGATGTAGCATTTTCATTAGCAATGTTTCATGTAGCATAAGAGCAGCTAAATATCTGCCAACATAGTTCTAGCACTGTTTAACAAAGTTCAAGTGCTCCAGAGCACATTAGTTTACAAGAACAGCAATCAAACTATTATTATACTTACTGAACACAGAAAACAAAACTTCATTCCTTCTCCCACGGAATCCGAACAGAAAGAGCGCGACGGAGAACGGGGGGGAAAACCTTTCACGGACTATAATGGTACAATCCGTTAATTTCTCTTCTTAAACCCCGAACTGACACTCAAAACAACAATCCATGAACTCAGTATGTTTGACAGTATAGATAATAATTTACATTTTCAATCAAAACACATTAAATTTTCATAAAAATAATAATTTTGAACAGGAAGTTACCCGCTGTCTTGCAATGGATCTGTGACCTTTCCAAACTAAAAACTGCCAGTGCTAATATGAGTTCCTACCGGAATAGCTTCTCATTTGACAATCTAGTGCAGTGGTCCCCAAACATGCGGGCCGTATTCGGCCCGCGGGCCATAGTTTGGTCCGGCCCCCTGAACAATACCAGAGAGCGTTCAGATTTTTTTTTCATATACCGTATTTTCCGGACTATAAGCTGCTAGTTTTTTCCTAAGCTTTGAACCATGCAGCTTATATGTGGATTTTTCTTCAACCACCAGGGGGCTCTTTAGCAGGAAGTGAATCATTGGAAGTCAAACCCTAACCCCCCTAAACCTAACCCTAAAAGAAGAAAGCGCCCAGGGTTAGGGTTAAGTTTAATAGGGTT